GTCTGTATCAAGGATTCACATTGGGAAGGCCTAAAGGTCATTGTTGGAAGATAGAAAGTCTGGGCCAGTGGGATGAAGGATTTGTGCCAGCAGGCTGAGGGATCTGCACTGGAGCCAGGAAGTGACACTCAAGGTAAGGACCAAGGCTCCCCCAAAGAGACCTGCAGCTATAGTGAGGACCCCAGTTTCTCTGAGGATGAGAAGAGCTGAGTTCATTTCAGGAAAGCCAGGTGTGACAAGCTTCTCCAGAAGGGCCAATAGCACACCGTCTTCCTCTCTAGTTCTGCTTCATGCTGTTGGCAACAGTGTGTAGGGGACCCTTTCACAGCTAGAACCACTGACCCAGTTCAGCTGGGTGTTACAAGATGACCATTAGTAGATCTACTGCATTAACCGTAGTTGGAATAACTGCTTTAAAATCTTTGTCAACCGATGCAAACATCTGGCTCATTGTGAAGCCAGTTGCTTGGTTTTTCCTGCATGGGGGTAATGCTAGATGACTGGTCTTCAAGTGCTTCTCCCAGAGAGCGGGTGAACCTTCAGAAGATCGAGCCTAATTCAGGTCCTTAGATAACAGGGGTGTGCTCAGGTTTGCAGGTCCTTTTGTGGCCTAAAAGCAAGGGGTCCACAGGTGAAAACTTAGATTTTGAGCCAAAATAAAGCTCCTCTTTGCATAAATTAATTATTTCAAGTATTTTGTTACAGTAATGGAAAGTTGGAAAGTCAAGGAACTACAGTTTTCAATTATATCATATAATATTTATTATCTTGAAACCCACAGATATTTTAGTCTATAATCTTGTACATGATGAAAATATTTCAATCCACCTATTGTCAAATGAAGGCATTTTCTCAGATAAACTAATATGTAGTAATTAGCATAAAGGACATGAAAGAAGAAATGGAAGTGCTCTGTGTAACAAGTTCTACTATATGCTAAGTGGTATCTGAGGGGACACCATGGAGTAGGAGATTAACATGTGTTTGTCCAGTGGCATAAGGTAGTAAACTGCTTCATAAACCTGCAGAGCCTCAGCTGCAAGAAGATCTCTGAGGACACAGATGGCACTTGTACAGCACCATCAGTTTCTGTAGCTGTCTTAGAAGGTACACATGTATCAGTCAGCTTTCCCACTGCTGGGCACAGGACCAGGCAGCCACAAATGGAAGCAGCTGGGTGGGGTGAAAGTGCACACCTGAAATCCCGGTCCAACGATGGATGGAAAATCAGTGGTTCCAAAGGATCCCTGAAATCATCTTGTGATTATTCTCCCATTGCTAGAATGTGTAATTGGATTAGACATTCAGCACATAGTAAAATCTCCACATTGGTTTGATCACTTGTGGACTGGGGGCTCACAAGATAGAAAAGTTGACAGGTGCTAGGCTACTAGATCTGCTTTTAACTCAGAAAAACTAAATAAAAGCAGTAACACAAATTCCTCTATGGATTGTATGGATTAATGCCACCATCATGGGTTTAAAGGATGGAGGAGCGGTGATTTTTACCTCATCCTCTTCAAAATCATCTGTTTGGACTTCACAAAAGACAAATTTTAGAAAAGTGCAGCAGATTACTATAAGTTTAATCATGTGGCAAATACTATTGCCGCTTCCATATCAGGTGTGCTTTAATTCCTTCAGTGAATTAACTCATCAATCCATGGATACGGGTGAGAAGTTTTTTATCCTAGCACCTCTAGGGTGATCATCGAAAAGACCCATGAACAAAGTGAGAGTGATTAGAAATAGAGGTCAGGCATGTGCTCAGTAACTTGGCCTTCCAATGACCAAAACTGACAGCTACGTCTAGTCCTCCACTCTCCCAGCAGCTGAGACTATTACAATGTCCATAATATACCATTCTCTATGGTGGTCATCCACCTTCCTGGTCACAGATGGATAGAAATACTTCCTCAAGTAGGGTCAGCATTCTTTCTCATTGGATTACACACTCTGGATATAGATTTGTCTTCCCCACATGCAATCCTTCTGCCAGAACTCCCATCCTTGGAGTTATACAATGCTTTACCCTCCATCAAGGTGCATTACACAGCATTGCTTGGGATGGAGACACTCCATTCACAGCAAGTGCACTTGCCTTTCTCACCTTCCTTCTTGAGTCCTATTGATACAGGGATGATGCAGGACCTCCAAATAATAAAAGGATTATTACTCCCAACCTGCTAGATGCCCAATGTGCTGAATTTGTGTTCTCTACAAAGGAAGAATGAATTCTAGGTAAAATTGATTAAATCAAGATCAAGTGGGGAAGCAAGTCATACAGCAAGCAGATATGAATACAGAACAAGGGCTTTTCCTGTCGGGTTTTGGATTAGTGATTTTTTTCTGGCTTTTTCAAGGTGAGCCATACTATTCAGACTATCAATCCCTGGTGCCCATCCCCAGGGAGGTATGTGGATGCATTTGTTTCATCTTTTGTGTTGAGGTCCCGCCCATCTTTTGTGTTGTGCTTGTCACTCCCACAGCTGCTTCCATACTGGGTCCTTGGAGGGTCTAGACCTACCTGAATATAATATTTCTATCTCACTTAGCTGCCTACAACAATACCACAGCGATATATGTGCACCCATGTTTATAGTAGCACAATTTGTAATAGCTAAATCTTGGAAACAGCTCACATGCCCATCAACTGAGAAATAGATAAAAAAAGATTTGGTATTTTTATCCAATAGAGTTCTACTCAGCTATCCAGAAGGACAAACTCCAGGCTTTCATAGGTAAATGGATGAAGAAGGGTGGGGCTTAGCACAGGACCTCTAGTGGCCAGGGCCATATTGCTTTGGCGCCACACTGACTCAGGGTCATAGCACATGACCTCCAGTGGGAGGCACCATAGCTACTTGACAGGAATTACAGTGAGGCAAGAAATCCATCAGAGACCATACTTATAAGAGAAATAAATCAGAGTTGCATGTGTAAAGATCATATTATCTCCTGAGTGCAAGAAACTGAAAGAGTAAACAAGATCCAAAATGTACAATATGAATGGTTTCTTGCCCCGCTGTAATTCCTGCTGAGTTGCTATGGCACCCGAGCCAGTATGGCGCCGCAGGTCATGTGGTATGGTGCTGAGTCACCATGGCATCCAGCTAATATGGCACAGGCCACTAAAGGCCATGTGCTAAGCCCCATCCTTCTTCCACTGAGTCAAATTACAACTTCCTATTTCCCTTTTTGTAATATCCTGTTTCCTTCGCCTGTGCTCCCACCCAATCCTGGTCTGCCATGTCAGGCAGTGCCCCTCCTAAACCCCGCCTCCAGCCTGGGGCTATTTAACCTTGGACCCCACGAAGGATAGGTGTAGGCCACGTTTTTCTCTTTCCTGTGGCCTTTCCGCGTCCACAATAAAGGCATTTTATTCTGTTTTACTTCTCTCTGCGCTGGAAAAACCTATCACAATAAATATTGTGAAAGGGAAAAACCTGCTGAAAAGAAAAGAACAAGTGGGTTGGGGGAAAGGAAAAAATAAGGAAGAGAAAAGAAAAACAATTATATATATGTAGAAATATATATATATATATAGACACACATACACAAGACAGCTAATAGTGAGGGATATTGCTCAGCAGGCACACTGCCTGCCTGGCAAGTACAAAGTCTTGAGGTCAATCCTAGTATGAAGAATAAAAAAAGCCCCACACGATAGCTAAGACAATTACCTACAAATTTCTATTAGTTCATTGAAAAGAAGGGTTTCTACTTACACTGTTTGATCAGTTTTGCATACCTATAACTTGTAATCGGAGCACTACTTTGAAGATAACATTATGCAATGTATTATTCTTTGTTCATTTCCTACTATCTTGTTTTAAATTCTGTATCACTGTTTTTTTCCCTTAAAATGAAAAAAAAAAGATTGCAAGTATAGTTGCTTAGGGAAGTGTAATGCACTGCATTTATTGAGTAAATGGGGATCAAATGGGGAAGCAAGTCACAAAGCAAGCACCCACTGAAGGACAAGGACTTTCCTGGAAGAAGTGGGTTAGGGAGGTTTAGTTCCTCCATCCCAAGGTGACTGATGCCTATTTAGCATATCAATCCCTGCCTTTCATCCCTAGGGGAAAATGTGGGGGTAGTCCTTCCAGTTTTTCTTGAAGGCCTACCTTTGGGGAATGTGCCTGTAGCCACAGTTGTGTTCTGCCTTGACCCGCTAAGGCCCACCTCTAACTTCCTACAAGACTTCTAAATAAATAAACTCTATATGATAGTATGTTTCACCGAAAGCAAAACATAGCTGACAGATCAGAAGCAAGAGTAGCCCCTGGAAGGAATTAACATAAGGGGCACCTCTTCTAACTTTTCATACTGTGTTGGGGTAATATGAAATACGCAGATAAAGTAAACTGTAAAAGGGAACATTTTTGAAACCCTTTGGAAAAGGAAATGAAGGGGAAGGAGAGGAGGAGAGGGAAGAGAGGCAGAAGCGAGGAGGAGGAGGGCGGGGGAGCTGGGATATACAGCAAGACAAATGCATTCAAGGCAATGTCCCAGGGCAGCGCGAATTTGTGGGAGGGGAGGGGAGGGAAGGGAAGGAAAATAAAGGAAACATTAAGATGTGTTCTGTACAGGTTCCATCTCCCCACAGGGGATATAACTGTAATGTACTGAAAACACACAGCATTAAAAAAAAACCTTTCAGACCACTAATTTGCCCAATGAAGACAAGTTAATAATTACAATTTTAAATAATCATATTTGGCTAACAAAATACACTGAGGCAGAGCAAAAGATATTGAAAGAGAGTAATATCCCAGGAAAATACATACGAAACATTTTTCAAAGCTCCTAATTAGAACAGAGCCCAGGGCATAGACAGTAGGCTAAAAAAAGAAGTACAATAGGGTGTGGCTGTCTCTTTGGCAAGGGCCACTCCCAGCATCACCCAGGGGCTCCCAGGCCGGCCTTGCACAGGGCGCCCCATTGGTCAGAGCGTCTCCTCCCCGCCCACCCCCTGAGCTCCCACTTTACTTTCGTTTCCTGCCTGGCTGCTCCCTCGGTGGTAAATCTTTGACCAAGTGGCAACCTGCTCCCTCCTCTGCTGGGCCTCACGACTTCTCCACAGGTGTCCAAAGCTGTGTGAAGCCCTTCCTGGCGGGCAGAGCTCGGAAGACTTTAGAAGAAAAAGCTGCCTTTGCTTGGGTGCGTTTCCTTGGGGGGTTTGAAACCTTGCTGGGGGAGGGGGAAGGCCGAGCTCCTGGCTTCCTGCTGCACAGATGCTAAGGCCCTGGAGGACGCAGATGCACACAGGGAAGGCTCCCTCTCCTGGAGGGACCGCTCCTTCTCCAACTGAGAGCACCCGACCCCGCCCCGCTTCCCTCCTTGCGGCCCACACTTGTGAGTTCATCTTGGCTCAGTGTGCCAGGATGTTGACTCCAGGGCAGATCGTTCTGTTCTCCCGCCACAGGGGCAGAACCCGAAGGCTCTTTTCTTTGCAGACCGAGTGTCGCGGTTTTCAGTGTCACCATGTGTTAGGGCCTGACTCCACAGGGGCTGTTGGCCAGGAGGGAGGTGCAGTACTTCCCCTTATAACTGATTGGGACAGTTTCTCCTTGTTCTTAAGGAAGAGTCCCTAAGTGTTTGCCTGTCTTCAGAGGTGACAGATTTTCTCTTGCCTGTAGGCTAATGTTTTACCAAAAGCAAGCAGCTCTGCAGAGTATCCCTACTGGCGTTTTCACAATTGCTTAACATGCTTTATCTCTATGAACAGTTATATCTTTGTGTATTGTCTTTTACCTAACGCATTTCTCTCTTTAACCCATATTTCCTTCAGATTCTTTAGGTTTCAGTTAAAACTATATTTTTAGGTGGGAATTCTAGGATAACTTTGTTGGAATTTTAGGATGACAACTTTTTCCCATCATTTAATTTTGAAACGACAGGTACATTTGCTGAGTACAGCTTGTCACATGTGATCTTCCTGATTATTTAATTCATACTGATACAGGAAAATAAAAACTCCCAACCTGAACGGTATCTGGGACTAGTTCGTGTTCTCTAAAATCGAAGAATGAATTTTAGGAACAACGGAGGTTAAGAGCAGAACATATTTATTGAGGGAAAGAAAGCTTCTGTCCAAGAGAAACAGAAGGGGCGCCCCAAGTGGGTTGCCCAAGACTCTGTCTTTTGTAGGAACTTTTATAGAGCAAAACGACGAGGTGAGGCGGGTCCAAGGTAGGGGAAAAAATGGACAAAACTATGCCAATAATAATTATTCAGGTAAAAACTGATTAAATCGAGATCAAATGGGGAAGTGAGTCACATAGCAAGAGGGTATGAATATAGAACGGGATTTTCCTGTAAGGGGTTGGGTCAGGACTCTTTAAGGTGATCACTACTGTTTAGAATATCCATCCCTGATGTTTACACCCAGGGAGATATGTGGGTGTATTAGTTTAGTCCTTTGTCTTGATGTCTGGCCCACAGCAAATACGTATCATATCCTGTCTTTCATGTTGGCTCCTTGGAGGGCCTGGCCCTATCTGACTGCCTATAATATTTCTATCAAACTCAGCTGCCTATAACAATATGATTTTGAAGTTGAATGTCAAGTTCATAATAGTGGTTTAAACCATGTTTAGCCCCTATTGGGCATCATGTTTTCAGATTTAAGTCGAGCTGATGGGACATAATCCATCATCAATAATAATTTGCAAGATGATCATGTCTAGTATTTGGGCACTTCTCTAAATGTCCAACATCCAACTTCTCTGGGATTATGTATTTCAGGTCTCTGACATATGGGATTCTGCAAGTATATTTATGTCATCTCCCTCCCTGGCATACATACATACACATACCTCTAGGCTCCTTTCCATGTCCTTGGTAAATTTCAAGGCCAAGATAAAATCCTACCATTACCAAACATGATTCCCCTGAACCAACTAGTACTCAGAAGGTTGCTTTTACATCTACATTGTTCTGAGTGTTATTGTGCCTATTTAGTTACCTGTTCTTTGATTCTGTGGGTTAGAGGGGAGACTTCTGAAGGGGGACTGAATGGGTTAATTCCAGCTGAAAGTAAAGTACACAGTCCTATCTTGGTTCACCGACTCAATTTTCTCCACCATTCAGGTTGCAAACTGAATGGGACGAGAAACAGATCGGAGTTCCCCATAAGGTCAACATTAAAGCTAACCACTGAATTTAATCCTGTTCTTGTCCAACTTAGTTTGTAGTCAGAATCTTGGACAGAATCAAGTTCATGAACCAGGGTACAACCATATTGTCTTTGAAAGTCATTTAGTATTCCATTTTTACATCTGATAAAAGGATTAACCTTTCTTTTGTCATATTGTTAAAAAAGAAATAAGTGCATATGAATAGCAAGCTGTGAGCCTGTGCAGATGAGGGAGTTAGAGCAGCTCTGTCTGAGATGATAACTTGTACAGGAAGTATAAGAATGGGACCATATTGATAGCAAAGTTATCACAGGTGTCCTGTGGTATAAGTAGTTTGTTGGTTTGAACATTGATGATGTGATTTTGGTGGGGGAAAGAAAAGTAAGGATGACACAAGAATTTTGGTAGAAAAGGACTCCATTTCTCCTTCTGTCCATTAAAGGAAGGGAAAATAAAACCCATTCTATACATAACTTTTATCATATGATATGAAATGAAAGTGCCTGAAATTATGACATAGTGAGTATGATGTCATTAAATTCCTTTTTTTGTTTTACTCCTTTTTGTTTTTTGACTTTTAATATTTTGGTCATGATGCCCTCATGATTTTTGCCGACTCGCTATTCATTCTTTCTATTCCTACCTTGCTTACTCTGCCCCATTTTAACTTTCCCAACATCAGGATCCAGGGCAGGAGAAGCCTCAGAGTGTGGACAGACAGGAGCAGGGAAACAACATCTATGGCTTCGTCAGTCCTGCAAAATGTCAAGGAGGAGGTGACTTGCCCCATCTGCCTGGAGCTCATGACAGAACCTGTGAGCACTGACTGTGGCCACACTTTCTGCAAACTCTGCATCACTTCCAACTATGAGTCGACGAAACATGAACAAGGAGTGGGCAACTGCCCCGTGTGCCGAGTCACTTACCACATTGAAAACCTGAGGCCCAGTCGACATGTGGCCAATATAGTGGAGAGGCTCAGGGAGGTGACCTTGACTCCACAGGCAGATCAGTGTGACCTCCATGGGGAGAAGCTTGTGCTGTTCTGTTGGCAAGACGGGAAGGTCCTTTGCTGGCTTTGTGAGCGTTCTCAGGTGCACCGGGGTCACCACACGCTTCTCATGGAGGAGGCTGCGCAGGAGTATCGGGTAAGAGGTCTGAGCTGTAGGAAGAGAGATCAGAAAACATTGCCCTGTAGGGAACGTCCACTGTGCCCTAGACTTTAATTAGTTTGCCCCCACAGAACTAAGGTCTATCATTTCTGTCTATTTTGTGCTTGTCTTCTGTAGCCCAACATATGTATTTGTACAGTCCAGTGTGATGGCTAGAGAATAAGCCTAGAATAAAAGTTCTTAGACAAAAGCAAAATTGCTGTAACTTGTACTAGATAAGTAAGCAGAGGTGCACTGATTACCTGTTTCAGCAAAAGAATAAACAGGATGCAAGTTCTTTTCTTGATGTAGAATCACAGTTCACTTCAGGGAGAGGATCAGTCTACACATCATGAAGGGGACCTCACCTTACTACTTAAGGAAGAATTACCGAGAGATACAAAAAGGACATTCATCTTCTCAAGTGTCTTTCTCATCAGCTTTTTCCCACCGTCAGTTAACTGAGGTTTCTGGTGAGATCAACCAGGTCTCATCCACATTTGTCCACTGTGTAGCTGCTGAGAAGCTCATAGCTTGACTGTGGTGTGGTTCTTTTCTCATAGAGGGGTCTTGAGCAAGTGCTGGAGAAGCTGCTGATGGAGGAGAAAGAGTTTGAGAAGTGGAATGCTCACATCGAAGAAGAAAGAACTTCCTGGAAGGCAGGAGATCACACTTCCTCATGGTCCTAGCCAGAAATCTGGCAGGGTCTCCGGGAGGAGGTCCTTCTTCTCTATTCTCTGCCCCTTGTTGAATCCAGAAGTCATGGGATGAACCCTGTGCATGCTTTTCCTTTGGGAGTGTGGTGTGGAGAGTGATTGTCACTAACGAATACGGCTGCTAGGAGCTAGGTGTTCACACTGAGGGGTGCTGGGGAAGATGGCTAGTGCACGCCGTCCTCCGTGGCTGTGGTGGGTTTTGAGATGGACTCTGCTAAAACTGACATTTGACAAAGGGTCCCGATTCTGTCTTCTGTATTCAAGTCTTGGTGGGGAGTGCGCAAGTGCAGTGAGGAGTAAAGCAGGGAGATGAGGGTTCCTGATCAGCTGGGAGGTGTGGGTGTCCCATCTGGTGTAGCCTGAGCCTTGAGAAGGTTGGCTTAATGTCATTGATTTTAATGGCAGGAAGGGAAAATCACAGGAACATTGTGCTTCCCTAAGAACGTCTCCTTTCTACCTCCCTTCCTCTGAGACTTCCCAGTAAAAAGAGTTATTATTTTTCTGGCTTGCAAACTCACCTAACTGAGTGCCTGTCTGTTTCTCATTCCTGAAGAATCAAATACAGGGGGAGAGAGAAAGTGTCCGGGCTGCGTTTCAACAAATGCGAGCCACCCTGGACTCTGAGGAGAGGACGCACCTGCAGAAGCTGCAGACAGAGGAGCAAGGTGTTCTGAATGGCCTGGCCGAGTCTGAAAAGGAGTTGGCCCAGCAGGCCTGGGAGGTGAGGGAGCTCATCTCAGATGTGCGGCACCGGCTGCAGGGGTCCACAGTGGCCATGCTGCAGGTAAGACTCCCAGGAGTCCCGCTTCTGAGATTCAGGAGGATTGGAAAGCGTTTCCTCCTGTCCTGTGCTGCCCTGCTTTTAGTGATGGTAATAAATTCTTGGATTGGTACTTCACGGAAGTGAATCAGTTTTACACATTATGGGAATAATTGCATGCATGTACAAAAAAGGGAGAATCCTGTTTGAATTCTTAAGAAGTACCATGCAAAAATTGCCTGTGGGAGGGAAGAGCCATTGTATCCAGTGGTGTTTTGTAATTGACTCTTCTGGGATCTAGTGGGAAGCATTTCTCAAGCATGTTTTCATGATTGGGGCAGTCAGTGGTAAACAGAGGAACTTCAGGTTACAAAGCATATTCCATTTTCCCTTGTGGAATCAGTTGTGACTTTTTCCATTTCAGTCCCGGAATAAAAATTGTCACAGACTAGTATTTGTTTTCTTTCAATATTCAGTAGCGTTCTGAAGTGAAGCCATGTCAGTGGTTATTTTGTTTTTATTTCTGCTCTTTTGCTTTTTTGCCAGTATAAATATTTTCATTTTTTTTACTTGCCTCAGGTTCATTTAATCTTTTCTTCTTCTGTTAGTTTTTGGTAAGCCTTGTCTTTGTAGGAATTGGTTCATTTTATAAGTTGTTAAGCTTGCAGTCATAGTCATCAGAATTCTTTAGAAACCTTTTTATTTATGTTATTCTTAATTTTATTCAACTGTCAAATAAAAGTTGTCGACAGGAGTGCTGGCACACCCCATTAATGCCAGCATTTGGGAGGCTGAGGCAGGAGGATTTTGGGAGTTCGAGACCAGCCTGGGCTACAAAGTGAGCTCAAGGCCAGCCTGAACTGCATAGCAAGATCCTGTCTCAAAAAGACAAAACAAGATTGTTTGTATCTATCACATATAACATACTCATTTGAAATCTATACATACTGTGGTATGTCAAAATAGAGCTAATTAACTTGCTTATTATTTTACATACTTATCTTTTTTTCTATGGTGACAACAAAGTCTATCCTTTAGGCAGTTTGTCAGAATATAACACATTGTTCTAAGTATAGCCACCATTTGGGCAATGAATTTCTCGAAGATTTTCCCACTTCCTAACTTCAGTTTTGTATCTTTTGACAAATATCTGCCCATCTCTGCCCACAACAGTCCCTGTATTGCACTTCTACTGCTATGATGTTACTGTTCATTCCACATGTTTGTGTGATAATATGCACTACTGTTTCTCTGGGTCTGGCTTGTTTCACTTAATGTAAAATTCTCCATATTCATCCGTGTTGCTGCAAATGACGGGATCTCATTCCTTATCATTTTTCCAAGCTGAAGAGTTTTACACTGTGTGTATACCACAGTACCTTTATCCATTTATACGCTGATAGGTGCTTAGACTGACTCCATATCTTGGATAGTTTGAATAATGCTTCAGTAAGTATTGTGAGCATGTACATAGCGCTTGGGCATGCTGGCTCATGTTCTTTTGACATATTCCTAGTGTATTTTAGTTTTTTTGTTGTTGTTGCTTTGTTTTCCGGTACCAGAGATCAAACTCACAACTTTGCACTTGCCAGGCAGATGCTGTGCTGCTGAGCTAAATCCCCAGCCCCTTCCTAGTGTTTAGATTGGTAGATCGTGTGCTACTTATATATTTTTAGTTTCTGGAGGATCCTCCATAATGTCTCTCGTAATGACTAAGCTCAGTTACATGTGTGCCGAAGTGTGAGAGGGCTCCTTTTATCCACATCTTTGCCATCCCTTGCTGCTTGCTTAATGACAGTAGTCATTCTAACAGGATTAAGTGATACTTCGCTGTAGTTTAATTTACATGTCCTTGATTTTGGGCATTTTTCATATAGCTGTCGTCATTTGTTTGTCTTTTGGAAAATATCTATTCAGGTATTTTGCCCATTTTGCAAATTGAAATACATATTTCTCTGATTTTCAGTTTTATGAGTTTTTTATGTGTTTTGGATTTTAATTCTATATCACATATATGGTTTGTAAACATCTTGTGCTAATCCGTACCCTGCCTGTTCATTTGGTTAATTGTTGATTTGCTGTGCAGAAGTTTTGAAATTTGATGTACTCCTGTTTTTCTAATTTTGCTTTTCTTACAGTGTTTTCGATTTCATATCCAAAAAATCTTTGCCAAGCACTGTGATGGAGTTTTCCCCCATGTTTTCTTCCGGTAATTTTAGTTTCATGTGTTGTGTTTAACGTCTTTATACATTTTGTGTTGATTTTTACATGTGGTTTGAGACATATGCTCATATTTCGTTTTGTAGCTTGGAGGTAAGCAGTTATCCCAATGCAGTTTATTCAAGAAAGAGTTCCTTCCACACAGTGTACTCTTGATACTGTGGTCAAAATTCACCTTATTGTAAATATATTGTTTTCATTTTGTTGTATCTCTGTTTTGCCACTGTCTTGTTTACTTTTATCTTTTGCTAAGACAAAATACCCGACATCCAGAATTAAGGAAGGAAAGGCTTATTTAGCTCACAGTTTGTGGAAGTTTCAATCCATACTTGGCTGGCTCCAAGGCAGACCGGCACATGGCAGAGGGCAGCAGTTCATGGTAGACAGAAAACAGCAAAAGCAGCCAGAACAAAACAGAGGAGCAGCAAGCAAGCCTCTTTCCCTTCCTTGTAATGTATGGAGGCTGCCTGCCCCAGGGTGGGTGTAGCAGTCAGACACATAATTCCATCATTGGACCATGAATCAATCATAAACTCTAGAAGCCTGTCCCATGACTGCATCAGGCTTTGAGGGGACATCCAGACACAAACCATGACAGATACATTGTCACATATGTCTGTTTTCAGTGCCAATACCATGTGTTTTGATGATCCTAGTTTTGTAGTTGATTTTAAAATCAGGTATAGTGGTGATGCTTCCAGCTTTACTCTTTCTCTGAAGATTGATATTTTGGAACTATTGTTTATTTTGACTCACAGCCTTGCTCATTCCCTAAATCACATGCCTGGGCTTGAACTTGGGAGCTTCCTGCCTGTCTGCTAGTGTGTTGGCGTTACACATATGACTCACCACTCCTGGGTTTCCTCTTTTCTGTAGTTTAAAATGCTCTTTTTTTTTTGGTACCAGGAATCAAGCTCAGGACCCTGTGCTTGCCAGGCAAGCACTTGTACCACTGAGCTATATCCCTGGCCCAAGTATTTCTTTTTTAAGACCCGGCATCTTTCATACAGTAGTCAAGCACTCTACCACTGAGTTGTACACCTGCATTCCTGATTGAAAATTTTCTTTAGGGGCATCCTCAAGTTTAGTCAGTCTTCCATCTACTGTCTTAGTAAGCCGTTGCTAAACCCATCCAATATTTTTTCTTTGTTATTCTCCTTAAACATCTGAAAAAAATCATTTTTAAACATCTCCTCACTGCAAAATCTCTATTTTGAATTACTGTTTTCATGCTTTGTTTCCTCTAACATAGTGGTTCTTAGATTTTTAACCTACTTAGGTAGTTCCTTAGAAGTGTTTGTCTCTTAAATGCAATACCCAGTGTCATTCCGAGTTATTTTCAGTTTGTTGTTTTCATGTTTTTCCCCAGAGTATGAGCCATGCATTCTTTTTTCCTTGTATTTCTCATCAGTTTCAGTTGTAAAATTGATATTTCTAATATTTTGTTGTTTCCCTGGATTCTCATCCTTTTATCCCCTAAGAAGATTGCTTTTCCTTTTCTATGTGGTTCTTTCCCTGTAGCCACTGATGTCTCTGCTGAGTTTAAAGAAAAAGAAAGCTCAATTTGTAAGGGTGGCATTCTAGGTTTCTCTTGAGTGTCAGTGTGTCTTTAGCTGAACGCTACGCTTAAACAGAGCCTATACTCCATTCCCAGTAAGTCATCTGTACCACTGGATGTGAGTTTCAGCAGGGAAGTCCACTCAGAGTTCAAGCCATTTTCAAGCTGGCCATAGCTCACCTGATGCATTCTGTGCACCTCTTCTGTTGTTATTAGTGCATCTTTACCATGTCCAGAATTGTACATCACTTAATCCTAGCTTAACAACTCTATCTGGTCCATCAGATGTTATCTCATCCAATGAAGACAGGTGCCACACAGGCTCAAAACTTTCTGTTAAAACTTAGAAGAAAAGTTCTCATTTCTGCAAAGTTTGTATCAGGAGAGTCACTTTCCTTCATATATATGGAAAACTTGAATTTCAAGAAAGATGTAGAGCCAGTCCTAAACATAACTGGGAGCTGTAAAAGTCAGCAGTTACTGTAGTTTTAACTTCCTACAACAGACCCTTTTTATCTCTAAACACAATTTTGTTTCATTTAAACATAATTTTGCTTACAGTTTTTGTTTGATTTACAGTATGAGTACTATTATGAAAAGCAAAACTCTGTATGTGTATGGGGACCCAGCTGTTCGTTTATTTTTTGCTTAGGACTTAGAAGGAGGAAGGAAGTCTGGGGTAGAGAACAGCAAGTGCATTGCCATATTTCTGTCCAGAAAAGCTATATGTACAATGAATGATTAAATGAACAGATGACCAAAATCCATGAAGGATATGGGCTAAACTGGACTAATGGGGCCTGGAATTCAGGGTGAACATTAGAAATTTGAGGACAGTGGACTGAGAGAGCAAGCATCCTGGTTGGCATTGAATATTACACATCCTAGATTTTAACCTTATGACTTGTTCAATATTGAGTATGTTATACTGCATTTAACTGGCAAAGCTAAGTAAAAATAGAATTAGTTAACAAGTAAAATGAGAAGAGATACTTCTAAAAACACTTGTTTGCTTGTCTCCTCAGCAAAAACCATGCAAATTTTTTCAGGAGTTAATACTTGTTTATCTTTGCTATAGAGCCTGTTCATACCTAGAAAATAATAGTGAATCATTATAGGCATCTGTAAAATAAGTGAAAGAACCATTTATTATTTAAATCATCTCATGTATCATGGTAGGCATGTGTAAGATAAGTGAATGAACTATGCATCATTTAAATCATCTCATGGGTAGCTATAGCATGGTTGGACTGAGTCTTATCTTTACTCTTTTGCCTTTCACATTGGGAAAATCTCCATTCTCAGCATATTAGGGCATTCTGATAAAACTTTGTAAGTAAGGAAAATCCATTACTTGTTAATTTGTGGTTTTTTTTTTTCTCACTAGGATGTGAAGAATACCATGGAAAGGTATGTGTGGGATTGAAATTTTGTGTGTGAGAAGAGATTTGTAGTTATTAAAATTAAGGAATGTTCAGTTGGAATAGAACATTTGACAGGTTGGGAAATTTTAGGTGCAGTGTTATAGAAATGCCTTCTCACCATTGAGAGTTTCAGTATTTCAGTCCTATTGAGAATAGAGCAGAAGGGACCAAATGGTGTGGTAGCAATTTGAGTTGTGAGGATTCATGGAGTAGAACAGTAGTGGTGTTAGGATGAGGTGTTACACTGTCAAGGCCTTAGCATCACCGTTTTATTTACTGTGTACCTGCATGTAGTTCTAGGCTTTGGATTTAATAGGTGTTTGCTTTATTGTAGGTGGATTACAAATTTCTTAGGAAATAGCAAGAATTGTCCATTGCAATAAACACTGTGTACAGTATTTATATTTTTACCGTGAAAATGGTGGATATCACATCCAAAAATATACTTCAGTGTGGAAATAGAATTTTGGCCCAAGGACAAACAGTTGATGCACATAGTCACATGGTTGGGAAGAGCTGGGAAAGGCCTTATCCTGCTGTCTACAATGGCACGCCTGCCTGACAGCATCAAGCTTTTCCGAAATCATAGAATTCAGATCAGCATTGCTTTGGTGTTCCTTTACCCAATGTTTGTAATTTTTCCAAGAAATAAAATAAACCTTGAAGCCTCAGATGGTATCTGAGGACCTTTCTGTCAACGGTGAGCTTTGGAGTTGTTGAGCTCCTCCTGGTAGGACTCCTACCTTGATAAGCCCAGACCCTGAGGCCTGGATGCTACAAATGTACTCACCAACCACATTCTCAGGAGCCCACACTCATGGCACGAGGTCCTCCACACATTGTTACGTTTCAATTTCATGTAGAGGGCTTTGTTTTAAACTGCTACAGAAGGCAAAACTCTGCTTCTAACAGGTTAAGATCCTCCAAAAATCACACAGAATGATTGAGAAGGCAAATCTGTTTCTTTTAAAGTCAGGATTTAAGAGTTGGTCTTGTCCCTTGTCTCAGGATTGCCAGAGACAAGAGTTCAAGTGTGAAAATGAGATGAAATGGTAAATGTGAGTAGTGTTTAAAAGGTACAGATATGAGATATGGAATTCACTTTTTTCTTCCCTAGGTGTCAGTTATTCACTGTGAAGAGACCAAGAACTTTTCCAAAGAATCACAGGATCATGTTTCAAGCTCCTGATCTGAAAAATATTCTCCAATCACAGCAAGGTGAGTGGAACTAAGTGGGTGTTCTGCTCCATGCCTGCCTGTAATCCTAACTACTCACAAGACTGAGACAGAAAGAGTGTAAGTTCAAGTCCAGCCTGAGCCACTTAGCAAGTTAGGGACACTCTGTCTCAGAGTGCTCAGTGGAAGAGCACTTACCCAGCGTACACTAGGTACTGGCTTCAATCACTAATACCAGTCAAATGGGAGGAGGGTTCAGTGAGCAACGCTAGGTTAAGTGTGTGTCTGGGGGATTCTAAAGAAGGCAGATGCTCATCGGGGAAGAGACAGCAGTGTGTGAAAGAGGAGACAAGGGAAAGTTAGTACCTGCTGGTGATGTGGTTGTATTATTGGGCAATGACCATCCTTCCTTATTCACCAATTCCCTGGCCCATCACACTTCCCTTGCCTTTCCTTAGACTGCAGAGGAGATGGATATTGGTGTGACTCATTTGCCTGCATTTAATATTATGAATTTTTGAACACATTTCAAAGCTAATGAATGTCCATTGCTAGTGGGTAAAGAGAATTACAGTTTCACGAACCTCATTCTCTTCAGAATTTTTATACCTTATTTCTCATATTGTGTGATCCATAATTCTCTTTCCCACACTCAGGTACAGTGTGTTTCTGCAAATGTACTACCTCTCCTTAAGGCTCCTGAATGACGTTCCTCCCAGGCCTTTTTTCATAAGGTTTTCTCGAGAATGCTCTTGGAACATCACATGTTGTGTAATACCGTGTCCCTCACCAACTCTGTAATTTTTCTACAGCTCCTGTTGTACTGACTCCAAGCAGCTATTCAAATATTTCCGTTCATCCACCTATTCCACACAAACAGTTCATATTTGGAAGAAACCAGGTCAAACAACGTTCAAGGTTGCTGCCCCCGCCCCCACCTGGGGGCAGTCTTTTTTAGGTGATGGAACATACTTCAAAACCCCCTCTAACTTTAGTGTTCCTAATTATCAACGCAAATGTGGCTACTGGGTGATGGGGCTGCAGGGTAAACTTGACTATAATGCTTTTAGGGTACCTGATAGTTCTAATCCCTGCACTGTGGCCTTTTCCCTGACTATTGCTCCAGGCCATGTTGTACTTTGCCTACACTATAAGGCTCATGCTCTCTCAATCTACAGTGTGACAGACCACGGGTTTCTTATCTATAAATTCCTTCAACGTTCCTTTTGTGGTAATGTTTTTTCATTTTTCAGTCTTGGGGGATGTTCAGAACCTATGATATTATGTGGGCCAAACCTTTGAACTTTCATACACCCTCTCCTTCTTTCTGTGCCTTGCCTCTGGCTGAGGTGTGTGTCTCCTTCCACTGAGGTGCCTGCTCCACTTTAACACCTTGCCTGCTCTCCCTTGGCCCTCCGTGTGGATATCCTTGACTCACGGTAGAATGTACAAATTCTCTGGCACTGTTTTCTTCCCAGTATCTCATTTGCTCACAAGAGGATCTTAATTTATTGCTTCCCTAATCCCAAGGAAATGCCTGCGTCCTCTTAAGAAAGACCACTATTAAGGTGACTGCTGTGCCTAATCATTGCAGCCTCCTTCTCTGCCAGTTATAAAGATGAAGGAAAGTTTGCACCCAACTTGCTGTATATTGAAGACCACATAGGTGTGTTCTCACTTAAGAATAGGCCCTTAGCAGTAGAGTAGTTCACTTCAGCCATGATTCTTCTTCTTTATCCCGGGGTGAAAAGCAGAGTCTCATCATAGAAAACAGGCACATAGACCTTTTGCAAATGGAAAAAGGACTATGAGATGGAGGTGGCGGAGGTGAGAGGAAGGGAAGGTTAAAAAATTATTATGTGTTATGTATATACAATCTCCCCCCGTTAAATTTCACATTACATAGTACAAACCTGTACTAATAAAAACAAAAGTTTAATTAAAAAAAAATGTCATCAATGATCTACACTAAGGATAGATTTTGTGTTCAGAGTATGTATGTTCAAATCCTATGTCTTTGTATCCTAGCAGTGTAACTTTGAATAATATGCTTGAATGCTTTATGTGTTTTCTTAGAGTTTTGTTTAAGCACTGCACCTGATCACTTTGATCATTGTGAGAAAATAAATTGAGTATTAAACATCCACTGAAGTATCTTAATAATGCTTTGTTCTGGTAATAATTGAAAAATGAAGAAGAGAAGAAGTAATCCTAGCACTCGGGAGGCTGAGGCATGAGGATCAGTGCAAGTTTGAGGCTAGTTTTGGCTACTTGGTGAAATCATGGCCAACCTGAACCACATAGTAAGATTCCCTCTCCAAAAAGAAAAAGAAAGAAAAGCATAAGAAGTAACTGTTTCCCCTGAAAGAAGTCACACAAAAGGGAACCACAGTTGACCTTAGAGAAACCAGGTCCCATTTTTAACACTACTGTAGTTTCACAATTTTAGAGTGTTATGTGCGTGGGTAACTCTGGTATTACTACGTATTGGTAGTATAAAATACATTCTCTGGGAATCAGGTTACCATTTGTAAAAAATAAATAAAATAACAATGAAATTTATCTCATATAGCATTGTAAACCAAACAACAGATAGAATTTTTTTGTTAGTCGTCTTCAGCCTGGCACTCCAATAACCCAGCTTGGTGTCTTAATTTTTGGCTCATTTTCCTCTGACCAAAATAAATGATTTTAAAGCATATATGTCAGTTGACATATAGAAACTTCACCCCCACTTGTGTTTTAAAAAGTAGACTCTAGTTAAAAGTCAGAGATTTTTTTATTAGCGAATTGTATGTTTCTGTATACTAAATGAGTATTTCTAGTTTCATAGGTGTCCAGCTGTCTCGGTTACTTTTCTGTCATTGCTGAGACAAAATACCTGATGTCCATAATTAAGGAAGGAAAGGATTATTTAGCTCACAGTCTGTGGAGGTTTCAGTCCAAACTTGGCTGGCTCCAAGGCAGAGTGTCACATGGCAAAGGGCAACCATTCATGGTTGTGGAAAGAGGAGTCACAGTACAGAATAAGCTGCTTTCCCTCATGTTGCATGCAGGCTACCCACCTTGCTACATCCAGTGCAGGATGCATGTGGCACTCACACCCCTAATCCCAGCATTGGGGTTTTTCTTGCTGTTGTCACTCATACTGCAGGAAAATGCCTGACTGCAAAGTTTCCAGCAAGAAGCTTCTGCAAACTAAATGACAATTTAAAGGAGTATGTAGGCCCTCAATCAACTGCTTGGGGACCTCCGTCTTCACCCACATTCTGTCATGATGGTTCCTCATTGCTGATATCTGTGCGCTGTAAAGCAACTGCCTAGGGACCTTGATCCTAGGGGCCCACATTCCACTGCCATTGTGGTAAGCATCCGAGGCCCATATTCACAGGTACACACTATTAACAGCGTGGGGACCCTCTACCCGGTGGCCCAGAATCTGCTGTCATCATGGTCCACAGCTGAACTGTGTGCACTGTACATCAACTGCCTGGGGACCTCAATTCCAGTGGCCCATGCTTAGACACCATCAACTGTTTGTCTGAGCCCTGCACTATATCATCTGCCTGGGGAACTCTGAACCCAGTGGCCCACCTCCTGCCACTATCATAGGAAAAGTCTGAGACCCAAGAAGACTAGGGACTCTGGAGACCTTCAGTGAGCTGTCAAAGAAGAGTAAGGCTCCATACTTCACCACTGGCATTCAAAATGACAAGATGAAGGAGAAAAATGAAATCTAAGAACTACACCCTGCCCAGATGTCCAGGAGACTTCAACATAGGAGGACTTGGAGGTCACACACCTAAAATGTCTGAAAAAATCCTAACTGAAGTAAAGAAACAACTCCATCAGGACATTGAAAACATCAGATCAGAAATTATCTCTCAGCTAAAAAATGCTATGACAACAATAATGAAAGAATTCCTGAGCACATCTAAAGAAGGCATATACAAAAAAGACAAGCATAGAAAAATGATGGAAACATTAAATGAACAATGTAAGAAGGAACTAGAATGCATGAAACAGATTCACAGAGCTACAAGGAAATCAAAACTTCCATCAAAGCTGGCAAAACCACTTAAATGAAGCTGGAGATAGACTTCAGATGTTGAAGACAGCATTGCTGCTAATGATTGTGAAAGAAAAGATCTATTAAAAGTAGCAAAAAACCATGAAACATCAATTCAACACCTCCAAGATGATGCAAAGAACAATGTAAGACATAGGTGTCAACAAAACAGCAGGCGTCAACACAAATAATATAAAACTATTTGCAAAAGTAATAGAAAATTGGGGCTGGGGATTTAGCTCAGTGGCAAATCACCTGCCTGGCAAGCGCAAGGTTGTGAGTTCGGTTCCCGGTACTGGAGAAAAACCAAACAACAACAACAAAAAAGTAATAGAAAATTTCCAAAGCATGGAAAAGGAATTTGATATACAGTTAAGTAAGGCATATAGAATTCAAAACTACAACCAAAATAAAACTACACTTACACCTATAATAATCAAGATCCCAGAAATGCAGGAAAAGAACACAATATTAAAAGTTATGAGAGAAAAGGAACAAATCACCTATAAAGGAAAGCCCATCAGAATCACGGCAGATTTTTCAAACCATCAAATCCAGAGCTTGGAGTGAAGTATTTCAGGTCCTAAAACAAAACAACTTCCAACCCAGATTGATGTATCCTGCAAAACTATTAGAGACCACCTAACTATATAAGATAAATCTTAGTAGACATGAAAAACCAAATAACATAAATTATAACATTATTGTACCTTTAAATTTAATGGAGGAAAAAAAATTTGCATTATGAAGAACTGAAGAACTTCTTAGTGCTAAACCAACCCTACAAACAGTCTTAGAAGGTATTCTACAAAGAGAAAAATGACCACAAGTTTACAAACAATAGAAAGGACCAACCAAGCAGAGCAAGCAATTAAAAGAGTGAAAGTAGGAAACCAACAGTAGGAAAATAATACAACAAAGACAAGCCAACATATATAAGTTACAGCTATTAATGTAAATGGCCTCAAATATCCAATCAAAAGAAGCAGACTGGCAGAATGGATCAAGAAAAAAAAATCCAACAATATGTTGGATATGTGGTATACTAGAAACACATGTGGTATACTAGAAACACATTTAACTCAACAGGAAGTTCATAGACTGAAAGGATGGAAAACAATACTTCAAGCAACAGGAATCCAGAAGGAAGCAGGTGGGAGGCTGAGGCAGGACGATGATTCCGAGTTCGAGACCAGCCTAGGCTACATAAGTGAGCTCAAGGCCAGCCTGAACTGCATAGCGAGACCCTGTTTCAAAAAAGACAAAAAACCCCCAAACAAACAGAAAGAAGTAAGAGTAGCCATCTGATTGCAGGCAATGTGAACTTCAAACCAAGAATGATGGAAAGAGACAAAGAAGGTCACTACATACTTCTTAGGGGAAAACTTCAAGAGGAAGAGATAACAATCATAAATATGTATGCACCAAATATGGGAGCACCTAACTATATAAGATAAATCTTAGTAGACATGAAATACCAAATACCTAATAACGGTAGTGTTATGGAGGCCATTATTACCACACTAACATAAAGAGATAGGTCAACTGGACAAAAAAATCAGGAAACAAATAGCAGAACTGAACAAAACTTGTGAACAAATGGATTTAGTAGACGTTTACAGAGTGTTCCACCTGACAACATCAGAATACACATTCTCAGGTGTACATGGGATATTCTCTAAAATAGACCCCATAGGAGGCCATAGAACATGACTAACTAAATGCAAAGAAATTGAAATTATGCCATGCATATTATTTGACCATAGTGCAATGAAATTGGAATTTAATGACAAAAGGAATCACAAAAACTCCATAATCACATGGAAATTAAATAACAGCCTCCTGAACCACCTATGAGTCACAGATGAAATTAAAGAAAAACTTAAACACATGTACAAACAAATGATAATGTATATACAACTTACTGCAATCTTTGGGATGCACTGAAAGCAGTCCTCAGAGAAGTTTATAACAGTGAACTCACGCATCGAGAAAACACAATGAAAACAAATAAATAGCCCAATGTTTCACCTCAAACTTTTAGAAAGAACAAGTCAAGTCCAAAGAAGGGAGGAAGTGATAAAGATTAGAGCAGAAATAAATGCAATTGAGACAAAGAAAACACTACAAAGAATTAGTGAATCAAAATGTTCATTCTTAGAAATAAAATTGGTATAAAATTTTACTAGGCAACCTAATCAAAAAAGGAAAGAAAAAACTCAAATTCATGCCAGAAGGAATGAAAAGATTGAAATCACTACAGATCCTATAAAAGTTGAGTATAATCAATACTTACTTTGAAAATCTTTACTCCCATAGGATGGAAAACAAGAAATGAAAGCATTTCTAGACACATATGCATTGCCAAAGTTGAATCAAGAAGATATAGCTGGGCGTGGTGGCACACACTTGAAATCCCAGCACTTGGGAGGCTGAGGCAGGCTGACCATTGTGAGTTTGAGACCAGCCTGGGCTATAAAGTGAGCTCAAGGCCAGCCTGAACTACATAGTGAGACCCTGTCTCAAAAAGACAAATAAATAAATAAATACATAAAAATCCTGAACAACCCAATATCAATTAATGAAATTTAAAACATTAAAAATCTACCAACAAAAAAAGCCCAGGTCCTGATGGATTTGCAGCCAAATTTTACAAGAAATTCAGAGAAGATTTAATGCCAACTTTTGTCAAACTCTTAAATGAAATTGAAAAGGAAGAAATTCTCCCTAACTCATTTCTGGTGGCAACTCTTATACTGATACCAAAACCAGAGAAAGACCCAACCAAGAAAGAGAACTACAGACCAATCGCCTTAATAAATATAGATGTAAAGATACTCAATACAATAGTAGCAAACAGAATGCTGCAAATCATCAAGATTATACGTCATGACCAAGTCAGTTTCATCCCAGACGTGCAGGGATGGTTCAATATACACAAATCAATCAATGTAATACACCATATCAACAGAGCCACAGACAAAAATCACAGGAGCATCTCAATAGATGCAGAAAAAGCTGTTGACAAAGTCCAACACTCATTCATGATAAAAACCCTACAGAAAATAGAATAGATGGTCTTCACCTGAAT